TTACTACTTTCCTAACTTAAGTTAATATTGTAGATTTATAATCTAGCTACGATTACTACTGGAAAGATCCAGTAAACAAAATCTTCAATAGATTTTTGTTATACTTCTTGTTCAAAATGTCCTAAAATAAATAATCCTTTAAAGATACTATAACTTATAAGAAATTGTAGATAGAAATGCAAACTACATAAGGTTGAGCTGGAAGTAGGTTTAAAATCCTTTCTTCGTACAGCATGAACCCATTTTTGAAGCCTCTCTTTCTCTTTAAGAGGAAACCTTAAATATAAAAATAACATGTTTTCCGAATTTCAAGAGGGGTACACTCCATCAATAACTGCAATGTACTTTCTAGAAACTCTAAATAACGTTGCCCACTTAGAGTGCCATCATAAAAATATGGCCCGACCAATTTATTTATTTATTTTTTATTTATTTTATTTATAAAATCATAAATGTTAAAATTGAATAAATTAGTTATATTACATAATACTTTGACTATACATTTTTAATATTACCTGTAGCTTTTAATGTTTGTACAACATTTGTAATCGTGGATCGTGACGGTTGTCTTCTTTCGGGAAATTTTTATAGGTATAAGTGACATGTTTGAACTGTACTTTTACCACTAGTATAAAACATTTCTATCATGTCAGAATACTCTACATTAGTATAAGTAAGCGGCACATTATACATGTATACATGTATACTAAGAAGTATTTGCTTTTATTTTTTAGAACTTGCTTAAATAAAAATTGTTGACATGTGAGGATAAAAGTGGTGTCAATGATAAAAACAAATCGATAACAGTTATTTTTACCTAAAAATTTACTTATTAAATAAATGTAGGTATAACAGTCTAAATAAATATATAAAATTCTAAATAAACTTAAATCTAATAATAATTAATAGGAATCACTCCCAAATTCATCTACTTCTGACTTATCTCATTATGTAAAAAAAGGTAATAATTTATAAAAGGTAATGAACAAATTAGTTATCAATAGTTTCATTAGAATATAGACAAATTTCCGTAATGCAAATATTTGCAGAATTTGGGTATGTTCACATCTAATAAAAAATATTAACACTTGACATGTCCACAACTCAACATAAATTAATTAAAATTTAATGAATATAAGTAGTAACAAAGTGTAACATAATAACCTAACACATGAAATAACTTTGGTTCTAATCAATATTTTACCACTTTTTTTTATATGTATACATCAATACATAACACATATGTATATAATTTATAAATGCTCGTGCTACAAGTACAGTTTAACATTTTTTAATACTTTGTCTAATTTTGAAGGTAAAAATGTTTATTTAAGTGAAATAGTTTATTTTTTACAATCATTTTTTTAAACATCAATATTTTTAAGGAATAAATAAATAAAATATATTTCTTAAATTATTTATTATTCATGGCATTTTAATAACTTTTGTCGTATGTTTTTACTATTATCAATTTTTAATTTTTATTTGTCAGGTCATTCTGTCACACTTTTTATATTTACTACTGTAGATTACAATTTATTTTGAGGGCTATGAATGTTGTATTACTGTACAACTATTTAGAGCTTAATAATTTTACTCTTGGATATTTTTTGAAAATGTTTATTAAAATACTGATCCATAAATCTTATCTTAATAGATGGAAAGTTTACTCATATCTAGGTTAGAATGTTTTTGTGAGTTGCAATAGACTAAAAAGGTTTACTTTATCAGTGTGACGATTTATTTCTGAAATATTAAGTTTCTTAGTTGTTTAATTTAAAATATCGAAAAACAATGTTGAAAATCAACTGCCCTAATTGGAATTTTTCAATACCTACCTAAATAGTTCTTAAATTTGTTAACGGGACACTTTATGTCATCTATGTACAATTTAAATATTTTAGATAACTTTTCGTTAAGTGATTTTTGTATAAAATATGATTTTATACTAAACCACAGTGTAAATCCTACAATGCTACATGAACATAAAATAATTATTTACAGAATTGTCATTCATTAAAACCAAGTCCCAAACTAAGGCCTAATAATGAGAACAGTCACTATGTATCTGAATTTGAGAATGAGAAAAAACTGGTAGGTATGTCATGTTATACATTTCTTCAAATATATCATAGAAGTTTCATATTAGAAAAATATTAAATTATCCATTTTAAATGTAAAAAAATCTTATGAGTCTTAGTTATTTTATTACAATTCAATAACTTAACCTAATTACTTTAAATATACAACCAAAGTTTCATCTGCATAATTTACAAAAGTGGTATTCCAACTTGATATTTCATGTTTCATAAAAGCTACTGTAAAAAGAGGGGTAATATAATTATTAGATTTAATTATTTTATTGTTAAAAATATTCGTACTTACTTATCTATTGTGTAGTCTGTTCAAAAATGTACAATATAAGTATTTATTATTCCATACTTATTTAAATGTACACAGAACATGTATCAGAAAATATAAATTTTCATTTGCTGATCCCATTGGGAACCAATATTAAAGTAAAATCTGAGATAAAAACAATAAATTAGTAAGCTTCTCATTGAGCTTATTAAATATAGTTAGTAATTTTAATAATATTTTTCATAGCTAATAATTTCCTAATATACTAAATAATAACAATATAAACAAACAAATTTTATAAATAAGAAATTAAATAATATGCATCCATATTCAACTGGAAAACTGCATAACAGTTGAAAACTAAATAAATTTATTTTTGAACTTAAAAAAATACCTAAATTACTTTCATAAAACAAGTTGTCATATAATTAATAACAGCCAACAATTAAAATGACAAAGAATTAAGATATAAAAATTGTGAGTTGTTTTCAGTGGCGCCCAATCCTATTACTAGGTGTAGCAATCGCTACACTTTGAAAATAAGGGGTGGGTGGGTATAATAACTAAATAACATAAAATAATCAACTTGAAATATGTTCATAATTAATCACAGATTATATTGGTTGATACCTTAATATTTACTAATATTATAAATTTAAATATGATAAAATGTATAAAATAATATAATTTTGAGTTTGTGAGGGGTTGGGTGGGTGGGTAAAATTTTTTCTTGCTACACTAGAAAAATATATCTTGGGCGCCACTAGTTGTTTTCCTCATACAACTACACAATTAAAAAATATATGATACACCTACAAGCTAAATAGGAAATGTAATTTAACTTGATCAGTCTGTTAAGCACATAGCACAAGTAAAATTTATAAGATTTTTTTTAGTTGTACACTTCACATGTGCCCAAAGTTTACACTTTAAGCATTGCATCCAGTTTTTTTTTGAAGCTCTTGATTGAGAATATGGTCCATTACACCTTTGGTTCCTGGGAAGAAGGGCTTAAGTCAATTTTGAACATTTTTCAAAACAAGTAAATCAAATTTTGAAAATTGCTACAGTTGAAAATTAAATGTTTTTATTCCCACTTCTAATACTTTCTATATTAGTTTTCCATGCCAAACAAATATTTAGTAATACAATTATGAAAATATTAAGGACTTCTAAGATAATTGTAGTTAAGCCATTTCTATTTCATGACTATTGACTTAAGTTTTTATGACCATGACTTATGCCTTTTAGATTCTTTACATTTTGACTTAACTCTTAATTTAAATGGATTAATTACAAGGTTTATAATGCTTAAAACTTTTATATTTATAATTGTTTAAACTTAAAACAAATAAAATACATCTAAGTATAATAAAAAAATATCAATAAAATAAACAACCTACTCATCACAAATAGTTAAAGTTTCATCGAGATCTGGACCATATGACTGGTTCTCAGTACTATCATCAACCAAATTCTTGTAAAAATCATGATAAATATTAGGAACTAATGTAAGAAGTTGGAGTAAGTCTCTTTTTTTTTGTTTAGATATTGGTACAGGTGCATTGTACATTTTTTGCAATGAAAAATTATTGACCCGGCCTCTTCTTTTTAGATTTAGTACTTTAAAAGGTTCATTTTCACATAAACTTGTCTTATAATACAGTAAACCAATATCACTACTTCTAATTTATTTCCATCTTCATTTTTTTTGCGCACTACAAAGGTCCTTTCAACAATTTTTCAAAATTGTAAAAGTCTTCTTGATTCATTTCGTGAACATGAAAAGGTTTCTTTTTGTTTGTGCATTTTATAAGTGTAGCTCAGTCCCTTGGATGAGCAATTTGAATTGCTGAATGTTTTTCAATGAGGTAGTAATCTGAGTTACACTCCATGTGAGTGTGGCCAGGAACTAAGAACTTGTGATTTATTTGTTGTATAGAAGTTTTCTTTTCAAGAATGGTAAAAAACATGGCTGAAATAAATGAAATGAAAATTAATAATATCCACATCTTTTTTTTTTGATTTTACTTACATGAATTTTTTGTCTGAACATGAACACTACTTTTATCAACAAAGTTGTTATCATTGCCATTATGATGAACGGGTACATTTTTATTACAATTTTCTTCAACTATACAAAGAAAGTTAATAAATAAATAATTATACTTTTTACAATTATAGTTATATAAATTTTACATCTGTAACGTGCCAACCACTTCAACTCAGATTTGATTGTATTTTGAATAAAATAACAAGTTGATGGTATAATGATAGTTTATTTGTATTTATTTAACACGTAAAATAGACTAAGTCTAAATAATTAATTTATAAAAATGTGGTAAACGATATATGACTTAGTATTGACTTGGTGGCTGCTCTGCTGGTGCTCGTCTGCTCGGCTGGTGTTCGTCTGATGGACACTTGTCCATCGACGTATTTCGTCGGTATTCCTAAAGGCTGGTTTACACTTATCAAAGTAACCACGTACGAGTACCACGAATCAGTGTCATTTTGATTCGAGCACTGACGACAGTGTTAACACTTTCAGTGTAATTTTGATTCGAGCACTGACGAAAGTCTGTTTACACTACAAGTTTTCTAGCCTTGTGTCCAAGAAATTTTCATCAATAGCCAAAATGGAACCAGAACTGGCAGACCTAGTGTTATCAATGTGCGGAATTGTTGCTCATGAGTGTGTAAAACAAATTATTTCTATTAATCAAAAAAAGAAAAGAAAAATATGGGTGCGAGATTGGGTTGCCAGGCGAAATATTTTAGGCGGATCAAATACGTTGTTAACGGAGCTCCGAATGGAACACCGATCAGGTTTCATGAACTTCATGAGGATGAGCGATGGTCATTTTGATATTTTATTAAAAAAATTGGAAAACCGTATTCAATAACAGAACACGTTTTTTAGAGATGCAATACCAGCTAAGACAAAGCTGGAAATCACATTAAGATTTCTCGCTACTGGAGATTCGTATTCATCACTACAGTACTTTTTTCGAGTGCCTAAAAGTACCATAAGTTTGTTTGTACCTGATGTTTGTAAAGAAATCTATCTTTTGGAAGATTTCATAAAGGTAATTTTATTAAATTTATTTTAACTTTAAATAGTTATTAATATGTATAATTTATTTATTTAATTTATTAGATATCATACACATAAAAAATAAACAACTTAATTGATACATCATAAAAAATAATAAACATAATTGATACATCATAAAAAATAACAAACTTAATTGATAGGTAGGTACATCATAAAAAATAATAAACTTAATGATAGGTAGGTACATCATAAAAAATAATAAACTTAATTGATACATTTTATTGACTTATAGAACTAAATAACTCTGAAAATGATTGTGGTGTGGATTCTTCTCTTTCTTCAATATTATTCTCAGAACATTCATACGTATTTACCGAACTTACTGATGGAATATTGAAATCAGTAGATGAGGATGTATTAGATCAGTAGTTCTCAACCGGGGTGACATGTCACCTTAGGGTGACGTGGACCTAGCTTAGGGGTGACGCAGAATTTTAACAAGAAAAGAAAAAATTTAAAAAATAAATTTTTCGATAATAGTAAAATTATAATAATAATAATAAAATTTCGAAAACAATCATATTATTTCTTATAATACATATATTATACACCTATACCACCACTGTCATGTACATAACATACCTCAAAGTTCGTATCTTTATAATAGTTTGTATTATTTATATTTAATCTTTTGGTCCGATAAACACGTGTACCTAGTAATAAGTAATTTGTCGTGCGATACCGCTACATACGTCTTAACGACTCAACATTAACCGGCCATCAGTCAGTATTCTACAGTCGCTGTGTAATGTTATCGCTCGTTGTGTATTTTACATTTTGTTATTACTTATTAATAATAATATTTTAACGTTAGTATTTTTTCGTATTCGTTAGCTGGCAAGTACAATTACCTACAAGTCTACAAGTAAGAACTAATTTTTAAAAAATTATGAGCATTATTATTAGCAAATTATAGTACGCATAATATAATATAATATAATAATAATAATAATATTTTTACTGTAGCATGGATAGATTTATTAATCGGAAAAGAAAATATGACAATGATGAGAATACGGAAATCAGTGACACTACATTACCATCAACTTCTGAGACGTTAAAACAGAGCGGAGGTAAGTGTCGGTATTACAATGAATCATATATGGATATAGGTTTTACATGGTGTGGTCCAAAAGATGAACCTATTCCCGAGTGTATTGTATGTGGGAAAATGTTGACCAACGAATCGATGGTGCCCAGCAAATTGAAACGCCATTTTATTAAACAACATTCTCACTTGAAGAATAAAGACGTTCATTATTTCAGAAAACTTCTCAGTGATCAAAAAAAAGAAGCAACCAAATTTACAAAAAAGGTCAAAGTGTCCGAGAGGGCTCCCGAAGCAAGTTTTGTTGTTTCACAAATGATCGCCAACAACATGAAAGGGCATACTATTGGAGAAAAACTAATTAAACCCGCTTGTAAGGAAATGGTGCGAATAATGATTGGAAATGAAGCGGCTCTTGAAATCGATAAGATACCTATGTCAAATGATACTGTTTCTCGTCGCATCTGTTGTATGTCGACAGATATTAAAGAGCTTGTTATAGAAAAGATGAAAAACTCTCGGTTCACGCTTCAAGTCGATGACTCAACTAGTAGCGACGGAAAATGCTACATGATAGGATTCGTTCGTTTTGTCGACGATAATGCTATTATAAGCCAGTTTTTGTGTCTGAAAGAGTTTAAAAAAAATACTAGAGGTAAAGACATTTTCAACACAATCGATTATTTTTTTGAAAATAATGGAATATCGTGGAGTGACTGTGTTGGAATTTGCACAGACGGAGCTCCTAGTATGACTGGGAGTATCAAGGGATTTGATACACTGGCTTAAATAAAAAATCCATTAATCGTTAAGACCCACTGTTTCATCCACAGAGAAGTGCTGATGACAAAAACGTTGGGTAGTGAATTCAATTCCGTTCTGAGTAATTCCGTTCGTATGGTCAACTACATTAAAGGAAAGCCCCTAAAAAGTAGAATTTTTGCCGAAATTTGTGAATCAATGGATGCTGATTTCACAAATTTGTTGTACCATACCGAAGTGAGATGGTTATCCAGAGGAAAGGTTCTGTTACGTCTCTATGAATTGAAAGAGGAACTTTTGCTGTTTTTCATGGAAGAGGAGAACAATGAATTTACATGTTATTTGGAAGACCACGACTGGATATCAAAATTCGCATACTTGGCTGATATTTTTCAATATCTTAACCAGGTTAATTCTAGTTTGCAAGGACCATCAGAAAATATTTTAACTTCCACCGACAAAATTTCAGCCTTTCAAGAAAAAATGTCCGTGTGGTGTGCAAACTTGGATAAAGAGAATACAACTATGTTTCCACTGTTTACGGGCCAGGAAAACTCCAGTCCTACCGTTCTAAAAATCATACGAAGTCACTTACAGACTTTACAAATGTCTATGAAACATTATTTTCCAGACTTAAACGTTGAACACTACGACTGAATTCGGAACCCTTTTACTTCCATGATACAAACAGATGACTGTGAGGTACAACAGGAAGCAGTGGAATTGAAGAACGACCGAACGCTTCTAGTTAAGTTTAATGAGGTCACGCTAGACAGCTTTTGGGTGGCTCTTAACAATGAATACCCTCGATTATCGAAAAAGGCTATTGAAGTGCTCCTTCAGTTTTCTACGTCTTGGTTATGTGAGCATGGCTTTAGTGCACTAACAAATATAAAAACAAAAAAACGCAACAGACTCACAAAAACAACTATAGAAGACGATATGAGACTCGCTCTTTCCACCATCAACCCTAGGATTCCATAACTTTGTAAAAAACACCAGGGTCAAATTTCACATTAAATTTATATAAATCATTATTTTTTTTTAACTTTAATTTTTTTCTGTACTGTATTTTTTTTTTTAATAAAAGAATAATTTTAATATATACAGCTAAGATTGTTTATTATTTTGATGTTAGGTTTTTTTTTTTTTTTTACATTACACAGTTAGGGTGACGCGATGTTTGATTCTAGTGGCTAAAGGTGACATGAATCAAAAAAAAATTGAGAACTACTGTATTAGATAGTAAATAATATTGTCCTTCTTCGTAGTTTGATTGTCGAGACTCAGGAGTGTATGTTTCATGACAAATTTTAGTTTATTCATTATTTGATTCAAGGCTTTCTTCGTACTTCAACAATTCTTCTGTTAAGATAGTTTGTATTTTTAATTGCGATGCAAGTGCTAGCCTCTTAGGAAGTTGACTAAGTTGAATAGCAACACTTTTACCAAAAACTTCAAATGCATTTTCAACTTTTTGTGCAGATGCAATTTTCGCAATTCTTTCCAATTCATCCACTGTGGAATCAATGTGTAATAACTGTGGATTCAACTTTCTTTTTTATTCAAACGTATTGGTGCTGAGTTAGTAGTTAGCATGGGTTTATTTAAAATAGGACTATTAGACTGGATGTTTTCAGTACAGGTTTCAGTACAGTTTTCAGAATCAATTAACTCGTTTTGTGTCAATGTGTTTTCTGCAGTTTCTGAATGTTTGTTCAGATCATAAATGTTTGTATTTATTTGAGTGCAAGATGTTACATTAGAGACCCACAAACATAAAATCATAATACATTATATTATTGACATTTATATTGATAATAATTAATTAATCTAATATTGATAAATTGTCTGTAAAAAAATAATTACAATAAATGTTTGATATTTCAGTGCCCATCAAGTGTTGAAGAATGGAATGAAATAGGAAATAATTTTTTTTTATAATGGAACTGTCCTGATTGTTATGGAGCAATAGACGGGAAGCTTATAGTCATAAAAGCACCAGCTAATAGTGGATCTGATTTTTATAATTATAAAGGGACATATAGCATTGTATTATTAGCTGTTGTTGAGCATGATTATTGCTTTCGCTACTTAGATGTTGGTGCAAATGGCAAATGTTCCGATGGAGGAATATTCCGAAACTCTTCATTAAAGTTTGCTATTGAAAATCATTTATTACATTTATCAGAAAAAGGTTATTTTGTTGCCGATGATGCTTTCCCACTAACAAAATATATGATGAAACCATATTCCAGGAGAAAATTGTCAAAAGAACATTATATATTTAACTGTAGATTATCAAGGGCAAGTCGTTTAGTCGAAAATGCTTTTGGGATTTTGGCACAGAGATTTCAAATTTATTTGAAACCTAACAACTTCAACCTTATAAAGTCGAAGAAATTGTTAAAGCAACATGTGCATTGCATATTTGGTTGCGTATCACATCGGGGTCAACGTACATGCCTCCAGTATCTTACGATGAAGAATTGGCGGGAAATACAACAGTTCGAATGGGTTCTTGGTATTCTGAAATACAACCTACGGGTTTAATGGATGCACCACCATTGAGATTCGGGCAAAATTATCCGAAAAGTGCGATTGAAAAACGAGAAAGTTTATGCAAATATTTCAACGAAGAAGGTGCAGTACCATGGCAAGAAAATATTTTCAAATTTATTTTCATTTTTAAAAATGTATTTCGTCTTATATTAAAATCAATTTAAAATTTATACATACTTGTATTTTGAATTTGATTAACTTGAGCTTCCTCCCTCTGTCCATGGTCCTAAAATTGTTTGTTTTTTAATTTATTTATAGTAATATAAACTATATGAGTGAGTTATTCTTATTTATAATATGGTGCATACTTCATAAGTAAATACCTACTTGTACTACAAGTTATTAAAAATTATTTTATAAACAATTTTAAAAATAAAACTTAATTTTAAATTATGAAAATGATGCGGACCTGTGGGGTGCCACGTGGATGTTGGGTGGAGGTGACCAAAAAAAGGGTCAAAAGAAAACAAAAAAGAACAACGAGACGGCGCACTGATGCAATTCAACTTTTATTAGTCGGAAACAAAAAAAACATTCAATATAATATAGAGAAACGGTATCGGTAGTGTTAGATTCGCGGGGACGTGTTTGGAGGTCTGTGTCCGGGTCGCTGAGAAAAACAAGTGACTTGTACGAGCCGGTTCGCCGAACGGCCGGTCGACATTTCCAGGCACGGATGTCGCATGCCGGCGTCGTCCGTCGTCGATTGGTGGTTTGATTGAGAAGCCACGGCGCGGCTTCCACGCAAAGGCTGTTTGAATTCAAACAGATATTGCGCGGGACCGCGTCATACTCCCCCCCCAAACCGCCAACGGCGTTGGTGTTCCGGCCGTTGCCGGTGTTGTGGTGGGTAATGAGTGGAGGGTGGGTGTGGTAGACCCCTGTCCGCGGGCACGTTTTCCGGCTGTGTTCAGCGGATGTGGCCCTGGCGGTGTCTAGTCATGATTGGCGACGTGGGAGGGCTGAAGTAGTTGAGACTTACCTCCATGTCCTCGTCGTCAGCCATGCCTGCGTTCGTCTCTCGTAACAAGTCCGCCTCCTCTTCCTAGGATATTTCCATATCCGCAGTTTGGGGGGTGGCGGCCGTTAGTTTTTCCGTGGTTCCGGTTGCTCCGGAAGTGTGTGTCACTTCCGGCACCATAGCCACGGCGAGGTTTGAGGTCGCAGGGTCTGGCTGCGACGGGTCCGGTGTTGTCTCAGGGGCTGTGTTTGAGGGTGGTGCAGGTTTTTCCAGGCTTTGTTGCTGGGACGTTTTTTTCGCCTTGTAGTTCAGCATCCGCTGCAGGTTCCGGCGTTCTCGGGCGTTCAGCGTGGCTGCAGGTGGTGTTTCCGGTGTGGTTGCCCTTGGTTTCGGCGTGGGTGGTGAGGGTGGCGTGTTGGTGGTCGTTATCGGTGGAGGAATGGACGATGTCCTCGGTGCCGGTATCGGCCTCTCCATCAGTGGACGGGGTGGTGTCGGCATTGGTGGCGCCGGTCGGGTCGTGGCCGCCGGTCGTTTCACCCGTCTGGGGCTTCGCAACCTGTTGTGCCGCCTTGATGTTGTGGGTTCGCCACTTGTTGCCCTTCGGAACGAATCTAGGACAAAATCCCGCAACCCAAATCCCGCTCGGACAAAATCCTGCCAAATGTGAAAAAAGTTCATTAAATTGTTTTGTACATATTTTTTTTTTTCAAATTCCTTAGCAACTTTTCCTTCACACTTTACCAGGCTTAGGACTGTCCAATAGTGAATTTTAAAGATATTCAAAATTCATTAAATGGGCGTGTTTAAAAAGTTGTTTTGGAGGTTTACGTTTATTATTTCTACTTTTTTTTATATTTCATACTATATAATATATTTTCGTCAATTTTTATTTTAATTTCTATTTTAAACATTAATTTGCAAATTATGAGCAATACCACGTAGGTAGTCGAGAGTTGGCGTCTCTTGAAATTTAGAACAAATAGTCTCTATTCTTGCATTTGAGAGTTTATAACGTTTCTTCTGAGACACATTTTCCTTCCCCTGAATAAAACCTTCTATCTTCACTCTTGTCAGATTTTCGTCTTTTTGGAATGCATTAATTACTTTCCAAATAGAAGGATGTGCAGCATGCAGGAGTGAGTATAAAGTATTGTGCCATCCTTCAACCCCATTATTAGTTCGAGGGAGATCTGCAGTTACATTAGTGAAACAATTCCACATAGAAAGAGGAAACAGAGGACTGCGCCGCCGTATATCGCCGTATATCGGGCGATACCCGTTTGCGTACATTTAACCTTTTTTGCGACTCGTTTGCGTACAAATGTACAACTCGATTGCGCACACGAATTTTTAATACCTGTGATAAATGACCCAAAACGCAAGACTCGTTTGCGTACATAAACTATAGCAAAAGTCTACTAAAACCCTTAACAAAAATAATGTTTAAGATTGTTTTTAAACATTGTCCTTCTCACTTTTACAGGCTTAGGACTGTCTGTTTACATCACATTATCGCTATAATATTTTGTGCCGATTTGTTTTAAATATTCCAATCGATTTATAGATTTGTTACATAATTGTCTGAAACATTTTTCTAAAAAAATTAATTAATTTATGCTGTCTTTTCGTTGAACATTATTAATACTTTTCTTTATAGAATTTAATTTTAAATCTGATTCTGATTGAATTTGTAATATTGTGTCTATAACTAGGTATATATTTGGATGTAGCGAGTAAAATTGACTATTATAATGACGATGAAAACTTTCTACTCTGTTGTCCTTGGATTATTATTACTTGGTGCACTTGCCCACATAACTGGAGGGAAATCTGAGTCAAGCAAAATATAATTTTCTAGAATATAATCTATGAATTCGGTAAACATAGTCGTAGGTGCAATTGATAGCAAGTCCGTAAAGCCGTCCGAGATTTCATCTGGTGGTAAATAACTTAAACCGAAAAAACACTTAAGCCATAAACCAATTTCTGAGGATTTGTTTAAATATTCGTTTAATAGTGGTTTATTTTGTTGGATACGTCGATACCAACTTTGCCCGAGATGAAAATTACAAATAAACTAATTTACAATTTGGAAACTTTTGTAATACAGTATGGAAAATATTTATTTGAAGTGGCTTGTTAGTCAGTTGCACACATAATTTTCCTAACATATCCCATAACATTGAATAAGTCGAAGTCTGTTTGTTGCGTAAAAAACAATAAACAAGTGGAATATAATAATTATTTTTGTAAATATGTAATATATACAGTTGCATAAAACATTTTGGAGCATAAGTAAACGTTCCATCTCCAAAAACATGTTCCGCGTTTGAAATTGCCTCTAAATTAATTTTGCATGTAAATAGAATTATATTTTTGTCATCACTCATAAAACAAAATTGTTCACCCTTGTATTGAATTTTATTTTGCATTTCATTTAACTGTTCGATAGCAATTTCGGTTGATGTCGGTACATTCGGAAAATGCTTTCTTCTTATGTCATATATAGAACGCCTAAACAACTTCGTATCCGTATGAGTTAAATTTAACGAAATGTCCTCCATATTTTGTAAATCACGACGTATCAATTTACTTGGAAGTATATGTAAGTCATCATTTGCTTTACGTTTTAAAGAACTTTTTATAATTTCTCTAGAAATTACCTGGTCAGTGTGTGCTTCGTAATTGTGTTTGTTTGAAGTATTAATTACCTTGGTAATTGATTCATTCACCGTAACTCTTGATGTACATTTTTTATTGGTACATCTAAACAACAGATCACCTGATTTTAAAACACGAAACTCACTATACTTATAGTTTTCAATATTAAAACAACGTTTTCCTCTGCGCGTTTCAAAAACATTTGATATTTGAATGTCCATGGTACTACACTAAATAAAATGACTCGTATCTCGATAGCATCACACACGTTCGACTAAATAATAGGCATATAGTAACATCCAGTAGTCGTCAATAACGCACACATTTATCTAAAATCACATTATCGTTTAGAACCGCACACTAGTTAATCAATTACGTGTATCTTATCGAAATTTGCTCTACAAGTAACAATATATATAGATGTACGCAAACGAGTCGTTATTTTTCAAGTCACAATTAGTATTAACCGGGTTTTCACGTTTTTCAATGTACGGAAACGAGTTGTCAGTTTACAGGTAAAAAATTGTGTACTGTGCGCAAACGAGTATCACCGCTAGTCTCTCCAGCCAAGTATCCTCGAAGTAATTGAGGAGAGGAGCAAGTTCTGGTTCATTATTTTCATAAAATTCACTCTCAATCAAAGTTTTGAACGCTTTCTCCACAGCCTCCTTTGGAACAAACGCAAGAGCAGCAAATTGACGAATTTCCAGTGCAAATTCTGCATCGTTCATATATCGCTGTTGTAAAGATGAAGACTGAATGTGACGCCATATTGACTGAGAAAAATGAAAGAAACAGCCTCTTACCAGACATTCCGGAAAAACTTCATTGACCGATTTTTGAACTGCTTGTTCGAAGTCTATCATTAATGTACTAGGTTTTAATGATGAGTTTAGTGCTTTCAATGCTGTCAGAAATTTTGTATAAGTAGTCTGGGTTTTATCAGGCAGCAGTGCATAGACAAGGGGTATGCAGGTAGATAATTTAGATCCATGAACAGTATACATTTGTGAGAATAGTGGAGGGGAAGAAGAGAATGTTCCGTCAGCATACCAATGATCACACCTTGGAGAGAAGTTCTAAATTTATTTTGGTAGAAAAAATCAGTAACCTTTGAGAATCTTCTTACCACTATCATATAACATAAATGGCTTTTTGTCCACTGTGAGTAAACATTTTTCTGGTATTATTAAATTTTCCAGTGAAGACGGATTAGAGGGGGAAGTTTCTAAGCATACCCTATATCGTCGAACATTGCGTTTTAAAGAACTGATGCTGGGTAATACACTAGAAACTCCTGGTGTAATGTCTTGGCAAACTTTTGCGACAACAGCATGAGTTGATGATCCCACATCCATAGATAAGTGTTTAAGTTTAGAAAAAATTTGATTACCACGAATTTTGGCTGTATCCGGTGGGTGAGAATGCACATTCAAATTTCTTCACTAATAGTGTGGACTCTCGCACGACACATACAATTTTTACTTTCCACACATTTCCATATGGTTTTTTCATTTTTTGGTTGTTTCTCTCTGGAGTATAGGAAACCTTTATACACTAATAAATTATTGCCTTTGGCGCTTTTAACAAATTCCATATTTATAAAAAAAACGTATGGCGAGAGAAACGTTAATGTGTTGTTACGAATGTAATATTCTCATATCGAAAATTCGGAGATAAAGTACGATAGATTGCACATGCGTGTCAGTCAATCGTACGTATTTATAAATATATGGATTTTCTATACATCAGTATAGTGTCAGTCAATATATGGATTTTCTATACATCGTTCACATCATGACCCGCGATAACGGCATAACGGCTAACCAATTCCGCTACAACTTTTATTACTAACAATAATGACAATATAGATAACGTATATTATCGCGAAAAAAATAATATTTTTTTTCGCGATATTTTATCCGAACGATATTTTATCCGGGCGATATTTCGTCCGGTGGGATTTTGTCCGAACACCCTTCGGAACACGTCGGTGCGGTCTTCCCACCCCCGCGTGTAGGCGTCCCACGGTACCGTGTCATCTGTAGCTGCGCCGTCGTCATTTGGCGAACCCGTGCCACCGTGGTGGTGTTGGTACCCTCATCCAGGGTGGCCGCCCTCAGCAACTGCTGGCTGCGTTCCAGCAGTTCAGCCGCTTGTTGGAGTGTGGAGGTAGTTGGTTCCATATCGGGGTGTGGTGCTGTTCCGACTGAAATTAAGTACACTAAGTGCTATTGTGGGTTTTATGGTTTAGGGGGGTTGGGTGGGGGTTGTTTGGGGCTCAGCGGTGTTCGCCCGTTTGAGGCAGGACAAGTGAAGACATGCTAATCACTTCCCAAGGGTGTCGGTGTATTCTGGTGGTCGCGGGGTCGTCTGCGCGCGTGTTTAGTGGTTTGGTACACGCGCATATGTGACACGACTTGACGTACAGTCGGATGTCGTTTTTTTGGCCTTTCCAAAAAAATCGCAGTTTTATCGCCCTGTACGTTTCTTTCCACCGCGGGTGGTTTGCGAGTACGTGATCGTGGTATGTCCAGATCACGTTCTGTGTTTTATTGTTTGGTATGACTACGGGTGTGTGTTCACCCAAATTTATCCGCAGAAGACCATCGGTAAAAATGTATTGATTTTTTTTATCCGTAGTACTTCTGGTATCGTGCGCTGGGTCGTCCGTTGTCACGTTGTCCGCTATGTCTCGTGTGTTGGGGTCATTGGCCGGCCACGTCACGAGCATAGCATGTGTGATTGTGGACCACTGGTAGTGTCAGCCGGGTCCGTTGTGGCGAACAGATTGTCGGCTGGTGAGCTAGTAGGGATGATGTGTGGTGAGGTGGGTACTCCTACTAGCCGTTCCTCGAGGTGTTCCTCGTCTAAAGGGGGCCCAGTGGTTGGGTTGCGGGAGAGCATGTCCGGCGCCTCGTTTTGTACGCCGGGCACATGCGTGGTTTTGTAGTCCAGGTTAGCCAGCTGGTAGTGCCCACCTGGTTAACTAGGAATTTGTATTTTTGGCTCGGTGGAGCCATGTGAGTGCTGAGTTGTCTGTATATAGGTCAAAACGGCGGGCTTCTAGGTATGGTCTAAACTTGTCGGTTGCCCAGATTATCGCGAGGCACTCGCGTTCTACCGCGGCGTACCTTGTTTGCGTATCACTAAACTTTTTGCTTGCGTAGGCGATTATCCGCCTTTCGTCCGGGCTGTCACCCCGTTGGAAAAGGACGGCACTAGCTCCTATCTCGCTAGCATCGGTTTGTAGGCAAAACGGTTTTCCGTAATCCGGCGTCGACAGTTTTGGCGAATCGTACAGGGCGCGTTTTATTTTGGTAAATGCCGCCTGTTCGGTTTCGGTCCACGACCATTTGGTCCCCTGTTTGAGTCTATTCGTTAGGGGTGCTATGGTGTCCACGTAGTTGTCGTCAAACTGGCTGTACCAGTTGCAAACGCCCAGGAACTTCCGTAGGTCCCTCAGCTTAGTTGGTGGGGGGTAATTTATGATGCCCTCTAGTTTCTCCGGTTGTTTGTCTATTCCTTCGGAGGTGACTAGTTGTCCAAGAAATGAGAATTCGGTTGCTCCGAATCTGCATTTTTCGGGGTTGCATGTCAGCCCGTGTCTCTGTAGGCGTTCTAGAACTTTGTCATAGTAGCACTGGTGTTCGTCCGTGGTGTTTGAAAACACTACTATATCGTCTAGATATACTCGGACGAACTCGTCCAGGTACCCCCTCAAGACTTCGTCCATTAGTCGCACAAAGGTCATGGGGCTGTTTTTGAGGCCAAAAGGGAGGACTCGGTATTGGTATAGGCCCCGACGCGTCCAGAATGCCGTGTATTTTAGCGCGTCTTGCTTAAGTGGTACTTGCCAGTACCCCGACTTAAGGTCAAGAACGCTGAACACTTTTGCCCCTCTCATCTGACGTATCAGCGTATTGAGGTCGGGCATTGAGTTCCCATGAGACGATGGGTGCGGCCTACAGGGATGTGCTTTGTTCTACTAGTCCCTGCTCTTCCATGTCCCGTATCATGGTATCGATTGTGGCTTGTTTTATCGGTGGATAGGGATATGGTTTGAGTGCTATTGGTGTTTGATTTTTGAGGAGGATGTCGTGTTCTATTAACCTGGTGCGTCCTACCCTACCGTTGAATACGTCCGGATAGTTGCGTACTACTTCGGCGAGTTTCGCGCGTGTGTGGTGGTCACCGTTTATTGTTAATTTGTCGACATCTAGTGCTGGGCTGGGGGTGGGTATCCGACCTTTCCAGCACGCTGTTGTTCTCCTATTCGAACCTAAATGAATAGTGCTCGTTGTGTAGTCCCAGTTGACTTCGTTTTGTACGAGACAGTCGTGACCTAGGAGCATGTCGCAGTATAAATTGTCCAGAATGGCTGCGTTGATGGTGACCGTGAGGTCTCCGATTCTGGCTACGAATGTGGAGGTACCACTTGTCATTGTGGTGTGTCCATCCGCCATTCGTACCTGAGTTTGTTGTCCGTGGTGGGGTGTGCCAAATTTTTGTGCAGTGTTCGGGCTTACATACGATTTTTGTGCTTGGGAGTCGAGTAGTGCTGTTACGGGGCCTGACCTAAATTCGAGTTCGACCGCGGGGGTCGGAATTTTGTCGGGGCATACTCGCTTAGCGTTATTCGACATTGGTTGTGATATATAACTGGGTAACTGGTTCTTAACCGCGTTATCAGTGTTCTGGGGAGCGGTTTGCACCGCCATTACCAGAGCATCCGTTTCGGTTATCTCTGTGCTATGGGTGTGTACTGTATGTGTACCTGTTGATTTCGTAGTAGGGGTCGTTGTGTGTGGTGATGATGACCTGCTACTTAACCTAATTTTTGTTTTTTGGACGGGTGATATATCTGAGGACGCCGAGTTTATCGATGCGCGTTTGATAGTTATATCCCCGTCAGTATTACCGAACGTTGTGTGTGGTGGCGTGGTTGTGTGTGTGTGTGTGTGTGTGTGGTTGAGGCGGCGGCGTAGACAGGTGTCCGCCGACTCATTTCCCGTTTCCCGATCGCGGTCTGTTTCCGGGGCACAAAAATTGACTTAAGCCCTTCTTCCCAGGAACCAAAGAGTCACAATAGACAAAATGTTTCATCGTCTGAGTCAACTCCACAAACTTGTTTATCAAATTTTAATTTTTTACACACTTTGACTGGTTTGACCTTGTTTTTCTTATCTTCTCTGGCATTATGTTCATTTTGTATTTTATCTTTTTCAGGGGTGTCTGTGAGAATAGTTGATTTTCTTTTTATCCTCTGGCCTTTACCATTTGTTTTGCGGGCACCAGCTTTTGGGAATGCCCTTATTTGATCTGGCGATATAAAGTTATTACATGTTTGACTAGTGTCATCTAATTTTGAAGTGGAAGGACTTTGAACCGTAGGTTTATTCCCAATTGTGCTGACTACTTCAGTAACTGTAACTGAAACATTATTAACTTCTTTTGGTTGATAGGAAGTTAGATTATGATCTGATTGTGAAGTGGAAGGACTTTGCATTGGTAGTTCACTAATATTATATTGATTAACCTCATCATGAGTGGCAGTAATTAAATTATTTGTTTCTTGTGGTCGATCAGTTATATAACTAGGTAGAAATGCTTCATCGGTAAATATGTCTGGATTATAAGTCCATATGCCAGATACTCTAAACCCAGATTGTATATTAGACATAGTTGCAGCCATGGGTAATGCCTGTTTAACAATTAATGGAATATCATAGATAGACATTGGTTTTTCCATGATTATTTCTCATCCATGAATCACTAAACTTATGTGTGAATGTTTTGAAAGATCTAAAAACATATCGGTATAAATGTTGCAATTTATGGGAACAATGTGGGTAAAATGATAATAGTATAATACCATTAAATTTACAAAAATTAAGTACAATATTCAAATGAGACACATGATTATCCAAAAGCAAAAGAGTTGGCTGATCAATGGATGGCTTAACATTTTTACAAAAATGTTTAATAAATATTAAAAAGTCTTCTCCTGTCATCCAACCTGATGAATTGGCACTTCCTATAGACCCAACTCGGCTTTTAGTCAAAAACCAAGGTTTCATTTTTTTTTAGGAAAAATAAACAATGGAGGCACTGCATTTCCAATAGCACTGACAGCTAATGCTACAGTTACAAGTGTTCATCTTTCGCCTGATGTAATAGCCCCAACTTGTTTTGTACCTTTTACATCTATTATTTTAGATGGCCGATGTACAGTAGTAACTCCAGTTTCATCAACGTTATAAATATTATGGGGCTCAAACTTAAACCTATCGTATAACTTACATATATTTTCAAAACATGTTTTAACATTGTGTCTATTGAAGCTGGTAGCTCTACTTAAGCTTGTTACTTGAGGTGTTCTTAATGACAAATCTTTTTTTCGTTTTAAAAAAGAATATAACCAATCTTCACCAGCACTACAATTATTCTACCAATTACTAGGCATTTTAACATTATTTACCCTACCAAATTGAAAAGCCAAATTTTTGAGATCAGTTCCTGTAAGGCCAAAATATATTCTTGAAGACCGTTTTGTATAAAGAGCCAACTCAACTTCTTGATTATGCGTGAATACCGTGTGACTACGCCATCTAACTGGAGCTAGTTCTTTAATATCTAAGAAATATGTGTACAAATTAATATAAGTAAAGAAAATTACAAATTAAATAAGCTTGAATTACTCAATAGGATCTGTTATTTTTTTTTTGTACCTCTGTAAGGTCATCACATTAACATCATATTGTTTAGCTGCTTGTCGCAGTGTTATGACACCATCGATCACTTCTTTCACTGCCTTGTCATAAATATCTTGAAGTGCAGTTCCAAAATATGTTTTTCTTTTATAATTTCTGACCATTATAACAATCTATAAAGTGAATTGTTAATAGGAATATTTAACTTTTAATAATACTTTATCTGCTAGTATTATTAAAATTACATTGAATTTTAGTCATCTATAAATAGATCTTATTTGTACAAAACAATTTTTAAAAAAACCTTTGAAGTAGCACAGGTGAATTAAATGTATACAAACACTAAAAAAATTGATATGGAATATAATCAAGTTGTACTGTTTATATGTTAATATCTAATATTAGGTATAACGGTTTACCCCGTAACAGTAAAGTTGACCCCAACAGTCCATGTTTAACGATTTTTGTTATAACGGAATAGCTATTTTGTATAAAAAGATAATTACATTGAAATATTAATCTGTACAAGCTAGATAGTAAAATGAAATAAAAATTACTGTGACGAAAAACGTGACCGATACAAGACGTTTGTTTTTTTTTTCGACTTATTTTACATTTTCCAAATTATTTATTAAAATACGTTTGTTATTAAACCGGCTTATCAGTAACAGTACGCACATGGTCGAAGCTGACAATTTTGAAAAGTTATTCTAGTGTTACCAACTGCGTAACACGAATAATTGTTAACTTAACACTTTGCCCCGTGTAACACTACGCCTCCCCTAGAGCTTTTATAACTATTTATTAAATATTTTTTTTTACATTTTCGTCGGAAAAATTTGCTATAAAACGAAGTAAAGAACAAAATTTACCATTTTTTTGTTATGGTTTTACCAAATTTAATGGGCCACTGTCATTATTACCTCTTAGAGAAAGTTCTTGTTCACCACAAAAAATAATTGTTTCTATTATTGGAATTAATGCCACTCTCTTTCCTTCACGTTGTTGCTGTCTATGTGAATTCACCTGTGTAGCAACATCACACATTTCTCCAGTAGGTGTATCTACTTTACGAAAATTATCAGCAGTTAAAGTACAAAATCGATGATACTCGGTGTTTGAATGTGATGCAAAGTTTTTGATTGAATCTTTCCATTTTATGAACGGTTTGCTTACTAGAGATCCAATAACCACAATCTGGCCACAAAGACCCTACGTCTAGGCTACGTCCCTGTCATTGGGTTAGTTAAAGATGGAGTGACAGCAAGGACATACTCCACAAAATCAGAATTAATGGTAGTTTTTAAAAATAATTTAAAGTAATAAATGTAGATGTTATAACTATAAATAATATTAAATTTTCTAATAATATTTATATATCTATATATATAAAATGACTTGTCTTGAATGATTTATCATCGCCTAGCCGGAACCACTGGATGGATCTGGCTGAAATTTGGCATATAGATAGCTATTATGACGTAGGCGTCCTCTAAGAAAGGATTTTTGGAAATTAAATCCCTAAAGGGGAATATAAGGGGTTGTACGATTATAACAGTGGCGCCATCTATCAAGCAATATCTTAATTAAATGTACAATATTGGTTTTAAAAACAAAAGGTACGAACTTGATCTTAGGAATACTTAGTGATTCCTCTAATGATCTAGATATGCAATATTTGCTTTTTGAAGAGCACATCATAGTAATCCGTGCAATGGACAGAAAACTATTACAGTTAGAGGATCAAATATGCATTTATTCATTGAAATATAGTATTTTTGAAAGGTAAGATTTGATAAACAAAACAAAAACATGGGATTTAACGTGTTAACTATTTTTACTGAGTAATAATATAACAAATGTTTTTATTTAAGTAACTTTTAACATAATGAGTGGTGTACATAATTTTTGTGATCACGGAAAATTGCCAGTCATAGAGGTTAACAATCACGTTAGTCAAATCGCCAATCCCAATGATTAACCTTGGAAAATATTAAATAGTATAGACTATAGAGAATTTATATTTTATTTTTATGACTTAAATAAGTAGGGTGAATAAAATTTTTTTACTACCTACCTATTATTAAGTCACTGGCTATTCAAATTATTTATTTTATATTTCTAACAAGACTATGTAAACAAAGTAAAACATTTTATTTATTATTTTATTTTTTCAGCAAGAACCTAAACATGTATCCGGAAGACAGTATTATGTGTTGTCTATTTCCAAATAGCTGTAATATGTTTCCCCGAACGCTGCTAATGACGTTATTGGACACATCTGGATTAACTTCTAATCCGTGGCAGTCAACATGGTTATATGTATACATGATCATTCTCATAATATGTCTCTTGGTAGTTAAGTAAAGTAAAATAAAAAACCATTTTAAATTAACATTTTTAAAGTTTCAGAAATATGTTGGTAAATTAATTCTACACAATGAATCTTCTGAGGAAAATTGTATACAGGAACTATTGCTTCAGAAAGAAGTTGTAATGGAATGTATTGAAGACAACAACTTCGTTTCCGATGAAAATAATTCTGAATGCAATGAGGTAATGGTGGTATCAAGAGTAGGCCAGGGCGAACCTGAACCAGTGGGATGTCCAGTAAATGCTTTAAAGAATAAACCAATACCATGTGCATTGGAAGAAGTGAGTAACAGGTTCTAATTAAAGTGTTGTCCTACCAATATAAAAATAAAATAAACATAAATAGGTACCTAACTAAATTAAAATTAAAATGTATTGTTGGTTAATTTACAATAAAAAAAGCATTTTAAATTGTATCCGTTATTATTGATACAAATATAATATAGCAATAATTATAAAATTGGAATCACTCTGCTGTACAATAGTTGTCAAGTATGTCGTTTTAATGGATGTATTCGATTTTAATTTAATGATAAATCATTACAAATGAAAAACAATTCTTAGCGGAGCGGTGTGTCATCCTAGCACCTAGGAAACTTGTGCAATTAATAATCAAATTTAATAATTAAAAACAGTTGAATATCAAATATCGATGGCATAGTGTACACATGTTGTAAGTGACATTTTCGTTATTGTTCAGGAGAACGATTTTAAAGTTTGAACTATTATAACAATTAAAAAATGTAACCAACTATAATGAATTTGTTATATTTTCCTTAACATATAATGAGTAAAGATGATTAAAAATTATTATTCTACTATAAACAAATCTCATAAAAAAAAAAAACTAAATTAAAAAGAACACTTGGTGGGTCATTGTATAATAGATTGTATTAAACTTAAATTCAATGATATAATATCATAGTATAAGAAAAACAATTCTGAGCGGAGACGGTTTGTCAGTCTGGATATTTTATATTAGTATTATTTATTATATCATGTAAGTTGAATTAATATTATTATTTATTATTCGTTTCTATGGTGAAAATCAAAGCATTATAAATTAAATTTCTATTTTTTGCCGTTTTTACGATTCCACTCGATATGCTGGCGAGAGTAATGGACAACTTTCGAAAACGGCTCCATATGTGCGTTGCTCGTCAAGGCAATCATTTTTTGGAGTTTAATCAAGGACAATATTATTTTTGAAAAATAACTTTAAAAAAAACCTTACTTAATGTAGTTTTAATAAATAAAAAAAAAATTTCCATATCTTGTATAGTTTTTTTTTAATTCACCTCGGAAATGTGGGAGTCCATTATGCCGCACCCTGTATAACTATGGAGAAAATCGAAAAATGACATCTCTAAAGAACCATCTTGTTCCAATTTTCTAAAAGATAAGGTACTATAACATATTATGTTGAGATCGAAGCACTTCTTCTGATAGAAATTTTGTATATAGGATATAAAAATAAACACCATTTTAAAACCAATAGCTTCCTCGCTCCGCTCAGAATCTAATATCTGTAAAATTAATACATTCATCGCTACGCCCAGAATCTAAAATAAATAAATAAACGTTCAAACTTTCATTTATTTCAAACAAATTTAATTAAGTAACATTTTAATACATACCATATATATATATATTACAGTAAAATACGTTAAATTTATATTAACGTTATTAACCAGGAATCAATATTATTATCCGGATGATTTAAGAAGAGTTTTAAGTATGAGTAAAATGTATAAAAAGCGGAATGTAGAATTGGTTTCAAAACTAAGCATCTTCTAGGATTGGATGACTTCTTTTTGACAATGTGTACATAGATTTTATATGCCATCCAGTTGGTTCAATTATCAAGGTGGTTCAATTATTGTAACCAAATTTTACTCACCCACCCACTTTATTTATCATTCAAAAACGAAAGAAGATATTTAAACACAAAGCCGCCCGCTTCGCTCGCAAACTGGACATATTTTATTAAATAATTTTATATTTAATTGACTTCAATCATAGTCATTGATCAATTAGTCAGTCACTGTTCAAAAACCATTTTGACTGCATGTTTGCAAACAATTATAATTTATATTAATAGGTATTATTCAATATAAACAATTATTTTAGCCCTCACCAATTTACTATTTTTGATCTATATTTAATATTATATTATTATAATAGCTAGACACTTGAATTGCCATCCGATGTTTACTGTGAAATACTGACAGATTTATTATCTACAACATTAGAATGAAGTCCTACACTAGTAAGCCCCAATAAGTTTATTTACCCACTAGAAAGGTATAGGTTATAGATAGGGATAGATAGATTATAGTGGTAGTATATTATAGTCCGGGTCACGAAAACTGGCGGCTGATTTTAGCGCCCCCAGTGGTGTATTTTTGGTAGGGCTATAGTAGTTTAGATAGCCCTACCAAAAATACACCACTGGGGGCGCTAAAATCAGCCGCCAGTTTTCGTGACCCGGACTATAGTATATAGTAGATATTAGTTCAAATCTTAGTCCGTGGCTCTATCTACTGGCTACTGCGACTGTAATTCTATATAGGCAATACGCCAATACCATTAAGATAGCATTATAGCTACATTTTCCATCGAGTGATGACTGTAAAAATTACCCATAGGTAATCAAACCAAAAAAATAATAAGCCACTATAATTACTAGTTTATTAGTTACCTAAAGTTATTTTGATTAATAAATAATTTACTCTAACATATATTATATATATAAACCATGATAAACATCTTATATTTAAGAATTTAGTAAAATATACAAGATATTATAATTTGAATAAAGTTAAAATGCCTACAACGGTAATTTAGAAATAACTGATTCGTACAGATTAAATTACCTAAGTTGATATTTTGAAAAAATTATTCATATTATAATAATAAAATATTACAGCCAAAATGTAGACTATTTAATTTGATATTAAAAATATATTTACTGCTTTAATTATTGTGTTAATAGTATACCTTTTGTACAACTTTAAGGTACCTAACACGGATTATTTCTGCTGAATTATCTTGTATTATGTGTGGTTTTTTTATTGAATATTGGGCGTTAATATAGGTACTTTTAATTATATAAAACATAACACTTTAACCTTTTTATTTATGCACTTCTATAATAAAATAACATTTATTAAATTTAGTTCACACCATTTTTGAGACAGGATTTTGATTGCTCTATATTTTTTATGTTTTATACTTTTTAAATTAGCTTTTCAGACAGTTTAAAGTTAGACGAATTAGGTACATTTTTTGCATTTTTTTTCCGATTAAATTCAAGGTTATTCAGCAGAAATAATTTGTATTACCAACCTTTGGATTTGAAGACACTAATACATTATGAGTACTATTTAAGTATTCAAAAAAGTAAAGAAAATTATTATTTATTGGGGTTTCTTAAATTACCTACTAATTTAAAATACTACTTAAAAGCATGACTAAATCGAAGAGTTTTCTTATAGTTTATACAACATAAGAAGCTATTCGGGCTACTAAATTGTGAGCATAACCACATTTTTTGGACACCTCACTTAAGTTGGGTATTAAGTAATGGAAATAGTTGTGTGTGACCTACGCATCACCGACAAAAACCGGTCGCTTCTTATGTTGAATAGAGCGTAAGACCATAACTCTAATAATACTTTTTGTTTAAACAATGGAATAGTTGGGGAGTCTCAAAAAGAAATTTTTTTTATAGATATCTTCCTATTTTACCTTCAAGAAGTTTCAACCATGTTCCAGCCACCGACGCCGTAATCGTCCACTGAGAAGCTTATGGTCACCGAAAACTCGACCAGCCCACTTGTCTCACCGACGTCACAACCACCGTCCGAAGATGACGAAGCATCTGATTCCAGCTATTACTTGTGAAAGCAAAATTAACTACTGTTAATATTTTGTTATATTTTTGGTATGGTTATTAATTTTATATTATTAACATTTGGAGATAAGCAAGCTAAGTACAACATGTTATTATTGTTAACCCAAAATATCAACGGCAACTTTTAAAAAGTAAAAAAAAATGTTTATCAATGTCATAAAACAAGCAACGGAAAAAACAAAGGCTACCATAATATTATATAACATTAATAAAATTGGGTTCATAGTAGAGCTCAGACGTTTATGGCTATATATTTTATTCAAATTAGTCATAACTCAATAAATTAGTTTGACACAAATTTAAACCCAAAGTCTAAATGTCGAATATGCAAAATTATTTTGCGGCTATTTCACACGCATAGAAATTTGGAGTTGTTCTAACTACAACGAGTGTCAATGTTATACACATTTGAACGTCGATTTTGCGCTAAGAGAGTTGTTCAAACAAAAACATGTTTTAAAAATACCGTAATTTGGGGTGAATAGAAACGACGAGGTAAATAGAAACAAAATCAGGAAAATGTTATCTTTTACTTCCTTACGATTTACTTTTAGTGTTATCAATATAAAACATTCAGTAAATCCAACATTCATTAGTACTAATCTCGTTTATATTGAAACGTTTCGTTTTGTTCTACCTCCATACACATATTATTGATAACAATCATGTGATATTCCTTATCAATGAAAAATTATCAAAATTCAAAGTTACCGTTTATGATGTAAATTTCTTTTTTCAATTTCTTTTCCTAGTTAAGTCTTATCAATATATTGCTGGCTTTAATAAAACGTAAGTATTATTGTTTTATTTCAATTAACTAAGAGTTTATTTATTTTAATTTAAAAAAATACAGAAATATGGTGAATAGAAACATATAATGCAACATATATGTAAAAGATTGTCGTTCAAAAACGTATAAGAAACCCAATCCAACTGATCTCGCAAATGCTGTCAATGCAGTTCAAAAAAAGAGAATGACTTATCGTGAAGCACAGGAGGTATACGGGATTCATTACTCTGTAATTTATCGCCATGTGAAGAATAAAGACATCAAAATGCAAGGTGGGCAAACATCATTAAGTTTAAGTGAAGAAAAACTTTTAATTGATAATATGTCCATGTGCTGAATGGGGGTGAATAGAAACAGAGCACTTAAAATAATCTGTTAAAAATACAAATATTTTGAATACACACAATTAAAGTAATCGGAGAGACCTATATTTAGGTGTATCGATAAACATTGTAGCCCAAATAAAACAGTTTATATGATACATCAAAGCTGAAAAGTGTTTCTATTCAACCCATTTTACGGTAACTCTAGATCATAAATTATTCTCTAAATTAATTACTTTAATTTCTTAAATTATTTATAATTGTCCGTAACAATTGATTGAGTGTTGATTTAACCATTCAATCTTGGTCTAAACCAGATTTTGAAAGCAAGCGATTTACAGTTTGTAATTGAAGTTTAAATTCTAATGTGTGACCGGGATTTATACGACACGGGGACAGAATTAGCAAATGACTTTAGTACTTTATGTTTTGCTTCAAAGCGTATAGAATATGTTAATCTGATTGGACCATTCTTTAGTAATAAACGATCATAATGAATAATAAGATGGAACTTTGGTTTAAGAGTCTTATTATTAGATAATTTCCATATATAGTCGATTATGTTCAGTAACAAGAGAATCTAATAATTTAGAACACTCGGGTTCTATACTCCAAGCACAACATAAATCAACAATTGTTCTCAATAAAATATATAGTTTCCAATTTTTTGAACTTTTAGGAATCAATTCACCAACAATGAGACCAAAATTTCTCACTAAACAGAGCATTTCCGAGGCAGACATTATTATGGAGCCATTGTTCAAATTTGATTGATTAAGTTTTGGAGGAAAATTTTTATTTTCTATTATACCATACTGATAAAGAATAATACGAGAGTTTAATTGATCAAGAGTAAAATATTTCTTAATTATGAAATTTTGTACAATGATTGCCATATCATAACGAGCTACTCGTTCGGGAATATCATGCATGAAATCGCAAACCATGTTCCGAACAACATGAAATTTGGAACTTCGTGAAAGATACAACGTTAATTTACTCCAGTATCTGTTACATTTCTTTTATTAATATAAATTTCATAATTATTTTAATTTCTTAATGATTGAAAAGATTCACTTAACATTTTCTGTAGTTCTGGTTTTGGACAACGACAAATCCTACAGTAATGATTTGCAGAAAAGCTTTCGACAAAACCCAAGATAGAGTTTAATCCCAAATTATCTCCTAAGACTAACTCTAGTGCAAAGAATATAGTGGTGTAAGTATTGTCAACACATACAGAAATTCCATTTGTCCGAAGATCAATTAGTTCATTGATAAGACGAGAAAACATGATTTTATTGGGTACTTTGATTATCCCACGATCTGAAGAATGAAATGAAAATGCTGTAAATATATTATTTAAAGATGACAAATATTCAGGTGGTAAGGCTGCAACAGTATAATATATACACCCTATTTTATGTATACCAGAATGGGAACCCAATGGATTTGGGAACATCATCATAATATAGAAAAAGAGGTAAAACAATTTTTCCAGAAAATTTTAATTTCATGTCCAGCCATCCAAAAAAGAAATAAGAGTAGTATTGTGTAATAATGAATCGTTAAAGTCAGTTGCAACTTTAAGAACATTAGGAAGCTCAAAAAAGGCTTTAAGGTTTTTTTTCATAGAAAGAAAATGCCCATGTATAGGTACTGTTAAAAGCTTATCTTCACCATTAATAAACCGCTTTTCTTTAATATGACCTACCACCACAGTTTCAGGTTTGAAAAACAAATTATTAGAAATTAAATATTTAATTCGTTGATAATGAGTTTGTAGTTCAAAAAATGGGTCTCGTAATGAATCAAACATTTTTTCTACTTCTAGTTTTGTGGAAGAATTGCATTGCAATATAGGAACAACTTTACATTTTAGTCGTTCTATTATAGGTACCACTTGAAAACAGCTCCATAACACTTTCCACTACATCTTGTACTAACGAGTTAGTAAGATAAGGCTTCGACATTAATTTTGTAATAAATTGTAATACATTTCTTTTCAAAATTTCATCGTAAGGAAATAAGTTTATACTTCTATTTTCATTGTCTAAAATTTGTTTAGTATAACTATTAACAATGTCATTTATAATGATAGATTCCTCAATTAATTCATATGATTCAATATTATTTGTTAAGGGTGTACTATCGAGTTCAGAAAATGTAGTAGATGATTTATTAAATATATCAGGTAATTCTACCAAAGATTCAACAATGGATTCAGCTATTGTTTTACTAAAACTAAGTTCATCATTGTGATTTACTGTAACTTGGAAATGTTCTCTATTTAAATGCTGCCTGAATTTTTTTATACCCCTGAAATCACGTGCACAATATTTTTGTTTACAGAATTATTACCAAGATTATGATATATTTTCATATGCCAAATTAACTTTGGTATGGACCGGAAATCTTTTAAACATAAATAACATTTATACATGATGTATTAAACGAAATATTAAAACTTTTTTTTTAATAAGAACTAATATTAAATACAGAGAAAATTATTATTTTAGTTTATATTAGTAAAAACTGATACTATATAAATTGAAAATTATTAATTAAAAATTTACAAATGAATATTTTTAAAGCGTTCATTTTACTTGTTAAAGATGTAATTATTGATGATTTTTGATCATAAATGGTTGTAAAATTATAAAGTTGAAGTTGTAAAATCAGCCAAGACTCATAACACTCACGTGAATAGGTGTAATGTAAGGCGTTGTATGTTGTAGAACAAGCGTTTAGTGCTTTTAGCGGACAACCAAAATTCCAATAGTTGTCATCTTCTCTGACATAGGTTGACTCAACAGAAAATATGTCTTGGCCAACTGAAACTATGAAAGGTTGTACCTATTGTTGTTCCATACTGTACATATTTTGGCCTTCTTCTGCCAAGTTCAGCTTCAAGCTCTGTAAGGTTCTGTTAAAACAAGGAGCTGTTGTTTATTTACCTATGAGATAAGAATTATTCTCATAATATAAAGAACATACAGTAACATGAACCGTAAAAGCTGCTGCAGACTCTGATAATGACGGCTTCCAAGACTTTTTTTGTGTCTTTTTAATCTGTGTTTTTGTTGGTACCAAGTATGGAATAAGTAAAAGTTTCAATACATTAACTGTTTTAATAAATAAATATACAACACCATGAATAAAAAGTTAATGCCTTGGTTAATACAGTATCTACTATCTAGTATTCTAGTATAAATCATTATTAAGAATGTTATAGGTATTTACCTAACATTGTACATGTAGATATGCAGTTATTAAGTTAGTATTATTATAAGAAATATAATTATTAAATTGATAATAAATCCAGCGAAATTAAAGAGAACTAGTAAAACTTGATTTAATAAACAAAACTAATGAAAAATAAATAAAATATTTAGTTTTAATAAGCCTTTAAAATTAATGTTGAATAATAGCAGAGAACCCTACCTAACTAAACCTATTTTATAAAATTTGGTTATTTATACTAACTTCCTCTTAGTTGTGCAGCATCAAGGTGTTTTAAAAGTTCTCTGGCATGATTATCCTTAATTGAACTCCGCCGTAAACTAACTATTGTGTCAGAAAATAATATCCATTTTTTAATATACACAGACCAATCACTAAGAGTTTCATGTTGTATATGTGGATATTCAAGTTTGAAATCTTCAGAAATCTTTAAAAAATAATGCACCTATATACAATAATTAATATGATGAGTACTCAGTAATACAAATAAATTAAATAGTCAAATTAGTCATAATGTTTATATTTTTTTTATAGTTTAAACCAATTATAATATTTATTTATTTAATGATTAGTAAAATAAATTTAGCAAGGGAAGAAAACTTACTAAGTCATGTCCTCTTAAGCTACACAAAATTGGCCATGATTTGAAAATATCTGATAGATGACGATCAGTTAAAGATTTATTATCTACACTTTGTATTTCTAATTTTCTTATTTGATAAGTAATTATCCAATTACTTTTGATTTCTTCAAAATTAGCCGACAAACCATTTTGACTAAGCCAGAATTTAGCGGTTTCAACATTTTCTAAACAATATAAAAATTAATTAGAAAAATGTATAATATTATATAAAACTTCGAAATTACCAGAAAATATTTGTGATGCAAGATCAACTGTAGCAGAGCTTGGTTTTTTCTTATCAGATTTAATTGCACCTATGCTACGCAATCTACATTTTTCCATCTCTCTACCAATTTCCCTTTAGCATGAGTATTGACTTCTCCAGCCGGTATAAAATATATACTCTATGAAAAAAAATTATGTACTTATACAAACTAATGGTTCAATTAAAATCGAATACCTTTTGCTCGCTAGGAAACACTTCACAAATTAATGTTGCTATTTTGCGAAAAATAAATCTGAGCCTCTAAAAAAATATATAAAATTAAAAATGTTTTATACTCATTAATAATTTATTACCACTCTTTATAATTATAAAATACAAATTAATAAAGGTTATAATATTATAATGCTAGACTTAATTAATATTGTATTAAATATTAAAATTAAATATTGTCTAATATAGGTAACTGACACATCATACATTCATATTATTTAAAACTGATATAACTGTTCAAACCACACCATGCTGTCCATAAGTACTTATAATACAAGATTAAAGACTTAAATTGTATAAAAGTAAACAAACATTTTGGAAAATTTATTAGTGTTAATGTAGGAATAGATTTATGTAGAAAATTAAATATAGATATCACTAAGTTTAAAACAAAGTCCATGTTGATTAATTATTTATATATTATAGATCTAAATAATGTTAATTAATAAAGCAATTTTCACTTTCCTTATTATGTTAAAAAACTGTATATATATATTTTTTTAAATGAAGAGCTCATTTTTAAGTTATTATTATTATTTAATATTAAAATACTATATTTAACCAACTATTTTAGAACTCACCCACACTAAGCACAAGCTTTGTTTATTTGTTTGACTGTGTGTCAAAGCCGCACAGGGGTGGATGTCATATATTGCATGTTTTAAAATATATGATTGTAATCTGTTATGACAAAATCTGTTATGCCATTCATGATACAACTAACCAAATTTTTTAATATTTTAAGAGTTGATTTATTAAGAATGATATTTCATACCTAACTATCAAATCAGATTTTAAATATGTAAAACCAACTTTTAAAACAAGTGTGCACCATTTATGTTAGATCAAGAAAATATATCACTTACTTGCTATTATCTTGGAATATAAAATTAATAAGTAGTTTTGTTGGGGTATTTTGACCATCATCGGATAAAGAGCCATTATTTATTTTTGAGTCAGCTAAAACGAAACGACCATCATTGGATGTATGTAAAAGTTCTAAAATTGTCAAGAAAATAAAATTATTTTATAAAATATTAAGCTCTGTATTACACAACAGTTATTTTTATTAAAATACCTCAATAGTCCATTCCATTGGTTTATATTTCCATACTTTTGATGATTTGGTGTCGAGGTTGAAGGTGAAAAATTGGACGTTGTATATGGACTCGAACGGTTTAGGGTTAAGTAATATTTACTTGGATCATTAACCCTGCATCAGTCGCGCGTTCTACTATTGTAGTACAGTGATAATCAATTTAATTTTAGATGGTTTTGGAATTACCCAATGACAATGATAAACTAAATACCTTTTAACAACATTATATGATTGAAAACTGTAATGATTTCGGAGTTTATCTTTCAGTGCAGTTCCGTATATTGAGCAATCAAGTTTTATGTTCTACTATTGTAGATTACGCGACGACTCAGGTACGTAACTTTTATACTACATCTCATATTTTAAACTCCCGTAATTTGTATTAAAATGAAATAGTTTAAACTTATATTAACGTTATACATTATAATTTATATTATATAATATTTATATAATATAATATATAATATAACCTACTTATATGTTATTGTTTTTGGTACCTATATAAATTATTTATAATATTTGTACCTATGTCATGATACTTTTTCTTTATTTATTTTGTAAAATAATTTTACTTTAGAAAATGGATAATGTTATTGAGCAATGGCTTGAAGAAGAAGAGGAAGAGTTGATTGAAGGTGTTGGCGTAGATAGTGATGAAGAATTAGAAACTGATCATGTTGAAGAACAGTGCGAAGATTCGAATACAGAACCAGGCTTTGCAGTGGTTCAGGATGACACAACCATCCAACACAAACTCCCGAAAATAACCAGCATATTCTCTGCCGAAAACTACGCCATATTTGAAGGGGTAAAACTTGCAAATACCCTAGAGACTAACGATATACTCATAATCAGTGACTCCCTCAGCACCCTACTAGCACTCAAAAACACATCATCAAGAAATGAAATAACATCAAACATCCAAGCATGCTTGGTCCAAACAAAAAAAAACATTGTATTCATGTGGGTCCCATCTCACACCGGAATTATAGGGAACGAAAAAGCAGACAAACATGCCGAACAGGCAACGAAAACCATCCTCAACCCTACAATAAACAACATACCCAGCATCGACATCATAAACTCTATAAACCAGAAAATCCTCTCATCTTGGCAAAACTACTGGAACTCAATAACACTGTCTAACAAACTCAAAAATATTAAAAAAACAATAAAAAAATGGAACACCCCCCCAAATCTCAACCGACGCCAAGACATTGCAATCACCCGCACCAGAATCGGACACTCTTTCCTCACTCACTCATACCTAATCAGTAAAGAACCCCAACCAATATGTGAACCCTGTCACATCGCACTAACCATCAAGCATATAATGGAAGAGTGCCCTCAATACTCCCGAATCCGCACCGATCTCAACATGCCACCCACCATAGCAGAAGCACTTGGCGAAAATCAAACAGACAAAATACTAACCTTTTTAAACATTACAAATATTATTAAAAAATTGTAACAATAAAACATGTATATATTATGTAAAAACTAATTTTAAGAAAAATTTCATGTAATAATCTAATGTCAGGCTAATAACCTTAGTTGTTGAAGCCTTTTCCTTTAAAAAAAAAAAAAAAAAGAACCAGAATATACTGATGATGAGTATGAAGGTGAGTCCACTTCTGGTGATGATAATATTGGGTTAATTGTTCAAAACAAATATTATATCGGGAAAGATCAAACAAAGTGGAAAAAAAAAGTTCATCCACAAAATAGTAGAACACGTTCTCATAATATAATATCACATTTACCAGGGCCTAAATCAAATGCTAAAAATAAAAAATCACATATGGAATGTTTTTCTCTTTTCTTTGACGATTCAGTAATTTCAATAATAACAAAAAGTACAAACATCAAAATTCAAGTAATTCAGATTAAATATAAACGTGAACGTGATGCAAAGGAAACGGATGAAACAGAAATAAGAGCTGTTATTGGTATACTTATACTAGCGGGCGTATCAAAATCAGGGCGGCAAAATATTTTAAAATTATTTGATGACACTAAGGGTACTGGTATTGAAGCAATTTATTTAGCAATGAGTAGCCAACGGTTTTGTTTTTTAATGCGAAATTTACGTTTTGATAATTTTACTGATCGAGAACAAAGGAGGGAGATAGACAAATTAGCTGCTATCAGAGAATTGTTTGAAATAATATTACACAATTTTCAAACCAATTTTATACCTAGTGAGTACTTAACTATAGATGAGCAGTTGATTTCTTTTCGTGGTCGCTGCTCATTCCGTCAATATATACCCAGTAAACCCGCGGGATATGGCATAAAAATATTCGCCCTCGTTGATGTCAAAAATGCGTATACATACAATTTAGAAGTGTATGTAGGCACACAACCTGATGGGCCTTACAAAATAAATAATAGTCCAAATAACGTTGTGACCAGACTTGTCCAACCGATTGAGGGCACTAAACGTAACATAACAATAGATAATTGGTTCACATCTCTCCCTTTAGTACTTCAACTATTAGAAGAAAAAAAATTAACTGTAGTTGGAACTATGAGACGTAATAAAACATGTATTCCAAAACAATTTGCAGACCCAAAAAATAGACCAATAAATTTATCATTATTTGGATTTCACAAAGATTGCACATTGACATCATATGTACCTAAAAAAAATAAAGTAGTGATTGCTGTTTCTACACTTCATCACGATAATAATAAAGATCCGACAGGCGACAACTGGAGATAAAAAAAAAACAGATATTATTACATTTTATAATCAAACAAAATGTGGTGTTGACCGCTTGGATCAAATGTGCAGTTTGTATGATGTCGCTAGAAACTCCCGACGTTGGCCTTTAACAATATTTTTTAATTTATTAAATATTTCTTGTATTAATGCTTTAAATGTATACTCCGCTAATAAGAATTATGCTAAAGTAAACAGAGCAGACTTTTTGGAAACACTTGCACTTTGTCTAATTAGACCAAATACAGAGAGACGAATACTCAATAAAAATTTACCAAAATCCATAAGATTTCGAGGGAGAAAATTATTAGGATTGGAAAAGGAAACAGAAACAGAAAAAAATGTAAAAACAAAACGCCCAGGTGGAGTTGGTAAATGTCATCTATGTGGACGAGCACGTAACAAAAGCACACGTAATTCATGCGAAACTTGCTATAAATGGGTAGGTATGCAACGATCACCTCAAATATATATGCGATTGTTGTTTCAATAAAAAACAATACAGTACATCTTCAGATGAAATGGATACTAATTAAATCTTAAAATTAAAAGACTAACAAAATAATTATAAGCATTCATGCATAATATTTTAACTCCTTTAAATTGTAATAGGACTTTCGACATATGTATATTAAATTAATTAATATTGTACAACAATTTGATTAAAAATATACATTTAATATGATTATTGAATAATTTGGTCAAATAATTTATTTATTTTGTAATAACAAATTATTAATGACAACAATTGTGATTGTTCTACAAATGTAGACGCGCGACTACTTGTGTGATATTAAACAACGCGACTGATGCAGGGTTAACATCAGTTATATCCTGAGGATTTTCTTTATGAGGCACTTCGATTAGGTTTGGTACTAAAAAGGTAGGTTCAATACTATATCTGTGCTTTGAAAATAATATTCATTAATAAAACAATCCTAAAATGATTCTAACATTTTATGCTTTTCAATGCAACATTTTTGAATACCTAAAACAAATAGGTAGGTACTTACTTTGACGACTTCAGATACGTCCGTTGTATTGAAACTATTATCTGTATAATACATACAAGTAGTATAGGGGTCACTATGGTACATTGCAAAATTCTTTTAATTATTTTGCAAATCGTGAAACTAAATAATTATTAAAATATTTTTCATAGAAATTGAAATGCAAAATTCCTTAGTATAGGGGTCACTATGGTACAATGCAATATTCCTTTAATTATTTTGCAAATCGTGAAACGCAATAATTATTAAAATATTTTTCAAAAAATCTAAAATGCAAAAATACTAAAAATAATTTTCATAGAAATTGAAATGCAAAAAATACTAAAAATATTTTCCTATGGGGGAGTTCGGCACACGTGACATTTAAATGCAATAATTACTTAAAATGTTTTTCAAAAATCTGAAATGCACCAAAACATTTTTTAATAGAATTGTTCTATCAAAAATAAAAATCGAAATAGTATATTTAATTGCAAAATGTATTAAAAAGAAATTGAAAAAATTAATTTAAAAATTAAAAATATAATAAATAATAAAAATAATGGAAACAACTATCAAAGATTTTAATAAATTACAAGAAAATGAAATGCAAATAATAATATTATTAAAATAATGAAATATAATCTAAATAAAATTCCAATTAAAGGAAATATTTTAATTGTCGATCATTGTCGCAATATTTGTGGAGATGGAAATGGAAAGCCTTATGCTTCTAAAATTCTAGAATCACCAACATGGCTTGAAATTTGTAAAATAGCTAATGATTTAATAATTACAACAGGTAAATTTTCAGAAAAATATCTCTATGATATTATTGTTCATCAAGATTTAGGGAATATTAAAATATGTACCCTTATTATGGAGTCGACTTTATTAGACCATTTATTAATTAAATTTTTTAATAGAATTGTTCTATTAAAAAAAAATGTTCAATATTTAACGCGTGTCCCATTCGGACACGCGTTATTAAAATCCAAAAATCTTTGAAAACGATTTTACACTATGATACTTTGAGGGGGACTTATAAAGAATTAAAATCAAAAATGTTTAATGTGAAAATGAAGATTCTAACATAAATAGCAACGGAGTTATACTTAAATGAAAAATATGAAGCGGGGGGTAAACTTTTAATATGTAGTGTAGATAAGCATATAAAACATATCTGTGTTGTACCGACTTGATAATATCAAATATTAAATGAAATATAGGACTTGTAATATTTAACAAGGTCAAATTATACGACCGTGTAATAATAATTTAAATCGAAAAAAAAAAATAGAAAAAATCTGCAAAAGTAGCCCCCATTGTACAGACATCGGTTTTTTATTTTTTATTTATTTTCATTTTTTTATTTTTTTGTTGACATCTGTACAACAGGGGCTACTGAGATATGTAGCCTTCATCGTATCACAACACAATGAGGAGACGTTATTTGTTGACTCCAGGGACCAGTGAGGAGAACCTTAGCTATGATATCACAGGTCACACTAGTGTCTTAAATCCGACTATACTCAACATATAATCGAACAAGCCACATGGAATGTGTGTGACGTTGTAATTACCACGTTGTAAAGTGTTAAAAACCATATTTTTTCGGTATAATTACCGACATTTAATACCGTAAATCTCGGTACGTACGACTGCCAGGTATTCGTTTATAATAGTTCCAAGTGACCCACTTTTTTTTACCTAAAATAAAAACAACCCTGAAAAATGTAAATAATATTATTTCCTAATTCTACTAAGCAATTAACACTAACGACACATTAGGAATTCACTAAAAAATAACAATACCTTGATTTTAGAAGCTCAAGTGGGGCACCGTAAATGTCCGGAAAATAATAAGGCGGACTGTAAAAATCCGGAATTTTTCCGTAATGTCACGGACCGTAAAAATCCGGAAAAAAATTCCCAAGAAAAGTAAATATACGGACCGTAAATTTACGGAATTCAAAAATATTGAACCATAATATCACGGACTGTAATGTCCCGGACTTTAAATTACAGGACCGTAAAATACCGGAAAGCAAAAATACATGCTCCGTAATATCACGGACCGTAAATATCCGGAATTTGCTAATACGACATGAGCGCTATCTAGTAGCATACATAATTATTTGTTATAGAAATACTATTTACCATTTGATGTCTTTTTTAGTTTTTAATTTTTGTGTCTTTCATCACTCTTTGGGGGCTTAGCATTGGCGCTATTTCATGTTATGGTGAAAAAATGCTGGTGTTAGACCCACCTACTTAAAAATAGTGCATTAAAGTCACGATATCCTGCCTTTAAATATTAAATACCACTAATAACTGATGACTTATTATAAAAATATAAAATATTCAATATTTATAGCTAAGTATTGAAAATTTAAAACAATGATTCTAATAAATAGTTCAGACTATTACCAAAGATAAATAAATGATATTATGAAACACAGTTATTTTTTACAGACATTTTAAATTTAAATTTCGATGAAAGTACATATTAAAACTAAGAATAACGATTTTAGTTATTTTGTTGTAACTTAAAAATATTACTCTTGTATACCTATATGAAACTTTTATAGTGTATTATTATATTTAATACACAATATAAGATTTTCAAATGTAAATTTTTTGGAAAAAATGAATATAACCTACCTACCGTTGTACCTATATACTAATGCCCAATACTACAATTATTATTAATTAGGTACTTTAATCACAATAATATCATAAAAATATACCTACTTAGTAATATTATAGTCTGATAGACCGTCTTCCCTCTGAACCGTTATTCCTGCACAATGGTTTTATATCATTGCATTCAAATTTAACATCACCCACTTGTAACCTACTGTACAGCAGAGCGACATCCACTTTCCCACTTTTTTATATTTTTGTTCTAAAAATTAAAATATTTTCATTGCTTCAATACCAATCCTACTTATCCTAGTATTCTAATATATAAAATTAATATAGTACTTTAACCAATAGCAAGTAGTAATATATACATATATACCATATACATTAACAAAATAGTAGGTATTAGATTTTCGTGATCTAAAACGAAATTCGATTTCGAACCACAGCAATTAGCAATTTCTTCAGGTTCAAAGAAAAAGATCTAAACACACAAAAATTTGGATAAGTAGTTCCAGAGTTTAGCAAGTAGGAAGGTATACCTACTAACAAACTCAAAATTATCTTTATGTAACAGCATAATATTACATATTAATTATAGAATATAAACCGACATAATATTTAATAAATATCACACTATCACAGTAGATTTGTTTTTAAACATAATTCAAATACAAATATAATACTATTTAATACTATAATTGTATTTGTTACCTATTTATTTGTTTTAATTTGATTTCATAACAGTTTCAAACTTTCAAATGCACTATGGAAAAATCACCTAGTTACGTACCTACATATTTACTACAAACTATAGGGTTTATAAAAAAAAAAAATACACAAATAATAGATTTCCAGAAATATTATTTTTTATACATTGATGTATTATTATTTTATTATTTTATATTTTTTGGTAACTTAAAAGGAGCCGCAAAGAAAGTAGAAACTATAGCATAAGTCATAATTTAAGAATAGATAATATTATTATATGGGTACGTAATATCTCGTATGTCCGTACTCCGTATGGTTACAAGACAAATGTAGGGGAGACCAGAGCAAAATGCATAGGTTAACTTTATGTGTCAAAAAATGGTGTCCAAACTATTATTTTAATAACTATTTATTAATATAATCATAAATTGACTTCTCAAATCCATTATTTATTCCTTCAAAAAATTTAATTATATCACTCAATTAATGATAAAATGAAAAATTTTTAAAAGTGGAATTTTATTCACTTTGCTAGGGCATAGTGAAAACATATGGTGGGCAAAGTGGTAAACTATGAGATAAATAAATAATTTACGTTAATTCATTTTATAATTGTATAATATGAATATTATACAGTCGAATCCGCTTAATTGGAACACATCGAGTGGTGACTTATTTGTCCCCATTATCCCGACTGTCCCGATTAACCGAAGAATTTTACATGCAATTCGTTCGGGACTGTCATTAATGTTCCCTTTAAGCAGATTCTACTGTATTTCACATCAAGTGTACACCAAAGCGTTCGTTTTGAAATAGAGTAGTCGTACACGATGTTTGTTTTAAAAAAGTGTTACATCAATGTACACTTTTTTCATACCGATCCAAGAGCAGGTGTCGGAGATCATTATCATTTCTTATTAGCGTATAGTTGATTCAGTAATAAATTCAGCTGATTAATGTACACGGTACTAATGTATCACGAACTAAGATATACCTTAAGGTGACACATATTATATTTATGAATGATAAATGTCATATTAGTGACTCGATCTTCTTAACACATATTACTTTAAATTAAATAGTAGAAAATACAATAAACATAAAAGAAAATAACTCTTTTTTTGATAAATAACCAATGATTTTGGTA